CGCGTGCCTTCGTCGGCTCGGCCTGGCGCCCTGCCCCCGGCTGGGCAGGTTTCGGAGGCCCGCCCTGGTGTGCACATTGGCCATCTCTGGAGCCTGGCTTTGTCCCCGGGGGAGCACGGATTTGAGAAGAAAGAGGAGGCCGGTGCTCATCCTCCCGGTTGGGCTGCTTTTACTGCCCCTGTGGTGACCGGAGCGCCTCGGGCGGGGCCACTGGGAAGGCTTGGGGTCTGGAAGGAAATCCCAGCTCTCTGGTCTTTGGATGCCGTCTCAGCACACTGGTGCCAGCCTGGAGCTCAGCTTTATTTTCTATTTTTAAATAAACCCAAACTCAGGGCAGAGGGGCTTCCCTGGAAGCCAGGGCCTTTCTCTGCACCCACAGCCCCCGCTGAGGCCACCTCACCTTGACCCCCGCCCCCCCCCCACAGCAGCGCTCCCAAGGGCTGTGGGCGGGGCTGCCATCATGCCCCCCCGCCATGCTACCGCCCCCACTCCGCCGGTGGGCCAGGTCCGGACAGCCTGCCCACCTGGTGTGTCAGGAGGCATTGTGTTCTGCCTTCTCTGGAAGCCTCTGGCCCCCCGCCGAGTCCGCCCTGAGGCAGCTCTGACCTGGGTCTCGGGTGATGTTCCCCACGGGCTGGGGCTGCAAAGCGTTGTGTGTCCGAGGAGGGCAGCCCCTGTGGCCTTGCTGCGGGACCACGGGATGGGTCTGTTTCCTGAAGTTTTCTACAAATCAAATCTCTACATTCCAATTTTGTATCTTTTCTTGGACTATTATATGATTGAACATTAACTTTGTCATAAAGGCCACGCTGCTTTCTCACCCCTGGGTGTTTTGAGGCCTGTCTGGGGGCACAGGGGGTAGCCCTCCCTCTTACTTAGGTTGCAAAGGGGCTGTGAGGCTGTCAAGCCATTGTGGCAGCCCTGGGTGGGGAGCACGGGGAGCACTGAGGGCACCGCCGGCTGAGGGTCCTCTGCCAGCACCGAGGACGCTGGACCCCGGAGGGCGAGGCCACGCCGGAAGCTGTGTTCAGGTGTTGCAGGTGTGCCCAGCCTCTGAACGCTGATCTTAGGCCCACAGTCTAGGTCCAAAGTCCCCAAGGCTGCCAGCGGGCCCGGTGCCACCCAGGACCTTGGGCACTGCATGGCCCCTGGGGACTGACCTGGGCTCCTCATTCCCCTTGTGTGGCTGAGCCCCCAGGCCCCCCACCCCACCCCGTAGAGCAGCTGTGGGAAAAAGAAGGTGTGGCCGGGGCCCTGGTAGTGGATGGGCCGGGAGGTCACAGAGAGACCTGGACGTGGCAGGGCTTTGTGTACCATGTGTTCACCGTGAGGTCCAAAGTGAGTCGATGGGCCCTGCCTGGAAGAGGCCTCCTCCAAGCATTGAGAAACTTGACCATATCTTGTGAAAAACACTTAAGGAGAGATGAACAGGTGTCTGAGGCAGGGAGTTAAGACCTCACCAACCTGGAGTCAGGGAGGGCTTCCCAGAGGAAGAGGCATTGAAACCCCAAGTGTGCTGTGGGAATCGGGGGGCTGGGGGGGTGGCGAGGCAGCTACGGGGTAGAGGTGAGGCTGGAGGCGGGTCGGGCACAGACCAGCGTCCTGGCCTCAAGGGCTGTACTTAGTAGGTGCAGCAGAGCTGCTTACAGAGTGGGACCTGTGGCCTCTGGGCAGCTGCCTTTCTGGGTGAGGGCGCAAGCCAGGCCTTCAGCAGGCGACACAGAATGAGCTGCGTACCCCCATGCACCTCCCTTGGTGAACCCCACTCCAGCCAGGCCCTCTGTTGGACTGGTATGACTCAGCACAAACCCCAGTCCCTGGTCCCTGGCCTGCCCTTACTCCTGTTCCCTCTATTTCTGAGGAGCATGAGGCCTAGGCCCTGGGACCCCTGCAGGACATGCAGGAGCGCGCCCCATAGCACATGAGGCCAGAGCGTGGGGCACACAGAGGGACAGGCCTGGGAGAGGAGCCCCCGCCAGGCTAAATCCCCACCTGTAAGAGCACCCTGTCCACGCTAGGGGGCGGTGCTGGGCTTTTCCAGCAGAGTGGTTTCCACCAAACCACTTCTCGGCCAGTGGGAGAGGGGCTGTTTCCCATCATCCCTGACCACACGATTCTCCAGTGACCACGTGGTTACCTGTGCTGACCATCCTCCTCAGCCATGGCCAGGGACATAGGGCTGTCCCTCCTGGAGCTGGTGTCCAAGCCGCAGGAGCCGGTGGACACTGACGTCCACATTACCTTTGTCAGAGTGAGCGTGCGCACGGGGAGGGGCACTGCTGGGCGCCTGGGGTCACAGGACCGCTGCAGGGCAAGGGCAGACTAACAAGGCAACATCAAGGGGGTGGTCACCCACAGGGGGCTGGACAGCAGGAGTTGGTGGGGAGGGCCAATGGGCTGGAAAGAGTACCACCTCCCAAGAGTACTTATGCTGGCCTGTGTGCTGGGGATGCCCCCTGCCAGGCGCCCTTTCCTGGGACCCTCACCCACCTCAGGATGGGGTGCCGATGAACTTCAGCTTCATTTGGGGGAAAGATGAGACTTTTATTGTCATTTAAAAAATAAAATGTCCTTTTGGCCTCAGGCACTCTGATCCTGATAAAGCTGGGGTGAGAGTGATGGGCCATGACTGCCCCTGTGGGGTCTGGGCAGGACCTGGGGGCTTGTCCCCCTGGGGAACCTGGCCTAGGAGGGAGGAAAGGTGGCCAGAGCCTGTGCTGAGGTCACATGGCTGGTTATTGTGCCGGA